GCTGGTTTCCAGCCATTTCCAGCCTGGTCTTAGCTGGACATAGCTGGTTTTGGCTGGACTCCCAGCTTGGCTAGGCTGGTCAAGCTGGTTTTAGCTGGTCTTCTCCCAGCCTGACCAGTTAAGACCAAGCTGGAAATGGCTGGAAACCAGCCTGGAAATGGCCAAAACCCCTCTAAAACCAGCCTGGTCAACCAGCTAAAACCATCCAACCAACCTAGACTGGTTAAAGCTGGATTTTTCAGCTGGGTTAGCATGATAGCTTAGAAATGTTACAACCCTCCCCTGCCGTCCAAAGCCAAGCCTCCTTAAGTCATGAACATCGAACGCGCACTGATTAGATATACGTAACACTAGTTAATGTCATTCACTAGTTAGAAAACTCTATGGAGACGCGCACTTTATCAAGCGAAGTTGTTGACAGGCCAGCGGGTGCAGGAATTACATTTCCCTAAAACAGTTAAAAAATGAACAAATATAAATCAAACTTCACCTCAGTAAAGCTGGTTAGTCAGAAGAGCACATTTACTTATGTTTTGTTATTAAACTAAATAAAAATAAGATCAGAAAAAAAGAGAGCTAAAAACTGAAATATCGTGTCATCTTTTTACATTATACTTACGTTTACGTTACCAAGACAACGAGTGACTTATCATTTTCAATTGTGCTCACTGATCCTCGTACATCGCTTGTTTTCAGCTCCGTCTTTTGAACAACTAAATGAATGCTCAGATCTATTTAACCGACTTTATTATGGATGCTGTAAAAGATACTCCATGAAATTGAACCAATCTTCTGCCGGACGTTTTCAGTGGTTGAACAACACTTCTGTGCATATAAACCCATTCATAAACAAGAACACAGTCTACATCAGCTTTGTGTGGCTAAAATAGTTTTAAAACATACACTTCTCTAAAAGAAATCCTTCAGCCGTGGTATCATCCTTCAGATCGTTGAACTGCATAACGTCATTTTGCTCCAGCATGCAAAAGTAACTCCGATATTGATTTGGGTTTTAGAAAAGTTTTGATTCTGAATTCTTGGCAGAAGCCCTTTCAGAAACAATCTTTCTTTTCATGCAAACAAGGCTGCGCTGGTATTTCAGAAAGATATTCGGGATGAGTTTGCCTGATGACGTCTCTCTATCAGCGGTAGATGCTTCACGTGTGCGCCAGTGACGTATCTGTTTGCTTAAAGAGGCTGCGCAGTAGCTCAAATTGAAATTTGTTGACAGATAGTTTGAGTTGCCTGTTGTAATTGAGTTTTTTGTCGGTCAACAATATTTAATTGGATGAACTTTTTCAGTTTTATGCCTTATTCAGAATATAAAAATACATTAATTTATATCATTTACTTTAATCATTAGCCTACTATTAGAACGTGAAGAGACTTATTAAATCAGCGCAACAAAAAATGTTTCTGAAGACAATCACCTACTGCACCTTTAAGTACATTAAAGAAAGTGTAATAATGACTGATGATAACCCTGCTGAACAAAAACAGCCTTAAGCTGGTTGCTGGTTATAGCTGGTCATTTTCCAGCCTGACCAGCTAAGACCAGGCTGGAAATGACTGTAAACCAGCCTGCAAATGGCCTAAAAAAAACCTAAAACCAGGCTGGTCGACCAGCCAACCAGCTTAGGCTAGTTTAAGATGAATTTTTCAGCAGGGAAATAATGTGAGAAGGCTAATTAAGCTAACTAAAGAAGTTAGCTAAGTAGGATAGTATAAGTAAATTATAAATAGGTAAACAATATAAACTTTTTTATGTATTTACTTTTATTACAAACTGACTGGTATTAGATAAATTGGCATTAAATCAAAATGGAAATAAAAATAATCTAGAATGACACTTTACAGAGCGGAACTACGTATCTGAAGGAGCGTTTTTCTGGACGGAGCAGTAATGGGACGCGCCCCAAACACTTCCTAATAAACACAGCTCGATCATTCATTACATTAAAAACGAGCCAAAACATTCCACCTTTTCATGTAGTTTGGATATATGGCTTCAACCATGATTCCATACACTGTCAACATTAAACTGGCCGCACGGACACTGACCGGAACCCTTAATTTGCAGAACAAGACAGCAGTGGACTGGTGAGTAGCTTTAGCTTCTGCAGATATTATGATTGTCAACAACACATAATCATAATATAACGCAGACACTCTGACAGTTATAACAACATTAATATTAGCCATTATCAAATAAAGCCATCGATATTGGCTAATCAACCTGTCAAGTCCATTTTCTTACTTAACATATAAAGTATTCAGTGTTTTATCATACAGTAACTGAGTGACAGTTAACAGTGTTTGAGGTACAGTCGTCTTTATATTCGCACATTCTGACTTTATCCTTAATACTATAATTTTAGAAAAGTGTTATTTGCAAATTCTAAATAGCGAAATCATATTAGCTGTGACTATCAAAGCACAACATAGTTGACAGTCAATTTAATAATGCTAATGTTGTTTTGAAGTCATTTTAATTACGATTTCAGACCAAATATTTAAAGTAGCATGGTAAAGAATATAGGGACGAATATAAAACCAGCTCAACCTCAGTTTAACAGTGTTGTTCATTCTGTATTTTACATGTATTATTGTCTGGTTATCATTTTAATGCATTCTCTTTATCAATAATAAAGTCTTTATAAGTGGGGAGCTTGAATGACTTGATCTACATGGCTAAGAGTTTGACACTATTATCATTTTAGAGCTTATTTACATCAGGATTTGTCTCCTATTTTATGACATTTGTATAATTCCAGTGCTGTCAGAAAATACTGCCTGAAACAATGTAATTGTGAATGCTAAAAAGTTAAGACAGGTTTTAATCCTGTATATTACTCCTGCTGGAAAGAACCTGATTGGTAATGGTTAAATTGAGTCCAAACACACTGCTAAAATCAAAATTTTTAAAACCTGATGAAACACAGACAATCATGAAGTGGCCTGCATAGAGTCCAGACCGGAATAATATATATACTTTTATAAAATTATTATTTGCAAATTTTAAAAAGGGAAATCATATTAACAGTGACAATCAAAGCACAACATTGTTGACAGGCAATTAAATAGAGCTAATGTCGTTTTTGAAGTTTTAAATCATAATTTTGAACCGTATATTTAAAGTAACATGGTAAAGAATACAGGGACGAATATAAAATTAGCTTAACCTCAGTTTAACAGTGTTAATACTACATTTTTACATGTACTATAGTCTGGTTTTCATTGTAATGTGTTCTCTTTATCAATAACCAGGCGACGAGCTTGAAAAGTTGATCTACATGGCTAAGATTTTGACACTATTATCCTTTCGGAGCTTATTTACTTATTTACATTTAATCCTCTATATTATTCCTGCTGGAAAGAACCTGATTGGCAATGGTTAAATTGAGTCCAAACCCACTGCTAAAATCATATTTATCATATAACCTGATTAAACACGGACAGTCATAAAGTGGCCTGCATAGTGTCCAGACCTGAATAATATATATAATTTTAGAAAATATTATTTGCATATTCTAAATAGGGAAATCATATTAGTAGCCAGTGTCTATCAAAGCATAGCATTGTCTAGTCAATTAAACAGAGGTAATGTCGGTTTCGAAATTTTAAATTGCAATTTCACAACAAATATTTAGAGTAGCTTGGTTAAGAATATAGGGACGAATATAAAACCAGCTCAACCTCAGTTTTACAGTGTTGTTAATACTGCATTTTTACATGTATTATAACCTGCATTCTCTTTGTTGCTTCATAATTAAAACTGCCAAAGGAATGCACCGAACTATTTGAGAATTATTTTACTATTTTGTAACTGCTCCAGTTTTGCTTTATAAGTCCCTTTGATAAAAGTGTTGAAAAATGTCAACAAGGTATTTGCGCACACGATGCGCAGCTTTTTCGACCCATTGTCTGTAAACCCTAGAGATTGTGTTTGATTGTGTGTGGTTTGTGTGTGAAAATCCCAGTAGATCAGCAGTTTCTGAAATACTCAGAGCAGCCCGTCTGGAAACAACAACCATGCCACGTTCAGTTTCTGAAGTGAACTGAACAGCCTTCTGATGCTCGGTTTGAGCTGCAGCAGATCGTCTTGACTACATGCCTGACTATATTGAGTTGCTTCCATGTGATTGGCCGATTAGAAATGTGCATTAACGAGCAGTTGGACAGGTTTTACATAATAACGTAGCTGGTGAGTGTGTGTGTGTGTATATATATATATATATATATATATATATATATATATATATATATATATATATATATATATATATATATATATATATATATATATATATATATATATATATATATATATATGTACATACATACATACATATATATACATATATATATGTACATACATACATACATGCATATATATACATACATACATACATATATATACACATACTGTATATATGTATCTACATGCATACATACACAAACACTCAATCGTGCGCTTACGTACGAGTATATGTAATAGGAGAAATTATCAGTTTCATTATATATAGCAATTTCATGTAGTGTAATACAAAAAATGAGAGTAATACCTATTAATACTCTCAATATTAGAAATCTTCTCTAATAATGCAAATTATCAATACAGGTCTGTGATATAAGCAAAGCTGGCATGATCTGCTGTCCCATCCTGGTCCATGCTAGCACCTTTTAGCATTGTGGTAACATTGTGCTGTGGTATCCATTGCTAGGTTGCTAGTCTTGTGCGGTTTGTGAGTTTTAATCGACTCTTGCGGTGTTTTTTACTGTTTAGTGCTAGATTTACGCCAGAATGCTGGCGAAGAGGTTAATACATGGGCTTTGGTTATCGATGGACTCAGAGGAAGCCATGAT